GTGTAATACAATTCTATTGTCGTGATGAGGATGATTCGTTGTGAGGAGGAGTGTAACACAATTCTATTGTCTTGATGAGGATGCTTTGTTCTGAGGAGGAATGTAACACAATTCTATTGTCTTGATGAGGATGATTCGTTGTGAGGCGGAGTGTAACACAATTCTATTGTCGTGATGAGGATGATTCGTTGTGAGGAGGAGTGTAACACAATTCTATTGTCTTGATGGGGATGCTTTGTTCTGAGGAGGGATGTAACACAATTCTATTGTCTTGATGGGGATGCTTTGTTCTGAGGAGGAATGTAAAACAATTCTATTGTCTTGATGAGAATAATTTGTTTTGAGGAGGAATGTATCACAATTCTATTGTCTTGATGAAGATGATTTGTTGTGAGGAGGATTGTATCACATTGCAATTGTCTTGATGAAGATGATTTGTTGTGAGGAGGAATTAACACAATTCTATTGTCTTGATGAGGATGATTTATTGTGAGGAGTGTAACACAATTCTATTGTCTTGATGAGGATGATTTGTTGTGAGGAGGNCTTGATGAGGATGATTTGTTGTGAGGAGTGTAACACAATTCTATTGTCTTGATGAGGATGATTTGTTGTGAGGAGGAATGTAACACAATTCTATTGTCTTGATGAGGATGATTTGTTGTGAGGAGGAATGAACACAATTCTATTGTCTTGATGAGGATGATTTGTCGTGAGGAGGAATGTTACACAAAACAGTGATTGGAAATAGCCACAAATACACTATTGTTTATAGTATAACCATGCAGCCTACTCGTCATAAAATGTATAATCCAACCAGCCAGTCACCTAAGTCAATGTTTATAGCTAAACTTTCTGTACCGATCAAGTTTGTCATAGAGCAATACAAATGGATCTCCTAGTGAAAGTGGCTCTATATCCTGTACAGTTCCTATCTTTTACTTTCTTTTTGAGACTGGTCTCATCAATAATGCTTACATGAGGCTTTTCCAACCGTTGGGAAACATTAACAAAGGGAAGGCTTTTGTTAGATCTAAAAATGATGTATATACATTTGTTATTCAAGCGTAATCCGAGGAAGGGATAGGGAACTTGATTATATTTTCAGAAGACAGTTTGTTTTTAATCAAGTAACCAGAAAACCAATCCATTTTTGGAGGAAATGGAGGTAGACATTATATGGGAGACACCAATTAAGGAAGCTTTGGGGTGGGCGCTTATCTGAGAGAGGGACAAGTCGGACAATGGGTGCTTATATATAGGCAAACTTTAAATAATTTATTATGAAGTACATGGTAAATGTATGACAGACTCACAGCAATGCGATACTATACAAATTGTATACATATACTTAAATACAGATGGTTTACATATAATTGTATGTTTTTGAAGCTGTAATTGAAAACACAATCAATTCACTTTCCAATGAAATCATACATCAAAGTGTTTAAAATCAAGAATTGCTAGTTAAGAAGGCATTTAAACAACATATTTAACATATTAGACATTTTATTTCATGAACTTTATAACATTAAGTGTATATAATTCACGGATAAAAAATGTAACAGATTTTCAAATTGACGACAAAGCATATTGCAAGTATAAACTAGAATAAAACCAGTCACATAAAGTAACCTTTATCTGTCCCTGTGAGACTGAATAGCGTCGTCCTTAGGGACAATAGTTAGCAAAACGGTAATAGGAAGTGAATCTAATGCTGTCATAACAACGTTCTTGATTTCCGACACAAAGACATATTTACATGCGCACGAACCTCAAACATCAACATACATTGAAATTCCTATAACAAGCACGCATTGTCTACAGAAAACCAATCACATCCGTGTGGCACGTCATTGTCAGCTTAACCCACAAGGAAAGTTTGGCTCATCACAGTCTTATTACCAAATAACAATCAAACTAAATAGCTTTGTAATATTTCATACGGTTTGATGTAAACAAAGTTCCAAAACATAAAAAAGATATCAATTAACTCACCACATTTTATATTTTATTTTTATAAGCTACCTGATGAGAAAAACAATCATTGTGAGGACAATAGATGTTTTTGTAAATTAACGTTTTTTCCACCACCACCAATCTGAAGGATTTCCAACATTCTACCATTGGTTGAAGTTTATAAAACGTTACCAATCCGATTTATTTTGAACATCTTCTGGACAGATTTATAGAAAACTGTTTCCACCTTATAAACATTGTATGAAAGGTGTTTACTAGACCACCATTCTTTAGACTGATGGGTTTCTGTAGACATATGGATTCATTATATATAACCATAAACCACCTTTTCCACCAAATAGGAAAATAAACAAGAATTCACAACCAAACTTACCGGCTAGAAGAAAGTGAATAAATTACAAATTAAATTACTGTGCATATTATTATTGCAAGAAGAATTTAACAAAAACAAATCTGCTTTAAATCAACTTGATATTAGATTACTTAGTTCAGTTAACCCAGAACTACCACAGCGAGACCTAGACGGTAAAGGTCCGGTTAATAAAAAAGAATTTCAACTCATGTAGGATTTTGTTTCGACACCCTAATATAATCCTACTTCAGCTTCAGTTATAGAATACTTCGGAAGCTTTTTGTTGATTACTAGTAAGTATCATTAATTATCCACATAATATTTTTGCCATTTCTCTAGACCCATTTGGCCCAGTACAGTTTGGGGGTCCTTCTCCAACTGAATTCAAACTGAACAACTTATACGACATGAAATTAATTTAGGTAATACCATTTGATGTAACTGGAATCTCAGTCCCAAATATCATTCTAGTCGAGTTTAATTCAAGCTAAGCTGAAACTCCTCTCCTATATCAAGTTTACAAGATTTTGAAGTCAGCTTGAGTTAAATTTCGGGCATATCAGCAGGACAAATTATTTGATGTAAACAGCTGTTTGTCAATCCAAGTTCTGCCTGATTCACTTTAAGACGTGTTGAATTTGACCTATTACATGTACAGCTACCCCACTTACTTTGGTAAACGTATAATCAGATATGAAATGGAGTACAAAAAGCATCAAATAAAAATGACTTTAAAACCTGATGAATAAATGAGCAGTTTACTTCAAATTAATAAGCAAGCTAAGAGTTGACCTTCAGGAATTTGTCAATTTAATATTGTCTGCCAAGAATTTGTTTTGCCACCTGTATTGGAGGTGTCTCTTATGATATACATTCATTGCTGAATAGAAAACCTCCAGGTCTATTGGCCCGAGAAAGTGACAACAGTGTGTGCAACAATGTATCCATTCTACCAATAAATACCTGTACATGAAGTTCTGGAAAACAGACCTGGGCAAGTGTGTCAGGGGTGTACCTCAGCTGTCTGACAGTGTGTCAGGGG